TGGGACCTTTGAGCCCTGCTCTGGTGAAAAGCAGATGATCAGTGAGCAAAGCAGTGCTCACTGAAGCCCTCACTGTGCTCTGCTGGGTGAGTTTTGGTCTACGAGAGGTGTTTGCAAGGTGGGATTCTCTGGACTGAGTTGTAAAAAAAAAAAACAAAAAACAAAAGGAGCATTTCATTGAATCGTGCCTCTGAAGGAGAAGCTGCAGGTGTCACAGCTTTACATCCTCAGACATCCCTTTTTTAAGAAATGCAAGCAACAGGTCTGAAGCATCCGTTCTCTCTAATGTTTTCCGCAGGAGGCAGAAGGACTGAGCTGTTACACAGCAGGGCTGCTCTCACTCAGGGATTGCAGCATGCTGGCTGCAGCTGCTCCCTTGCCTGATGAGGAGCACACCATGGGCTCAGCGCAGGAGGGACCCAGAGGCTCTGTCAGCACTCACTGCATGACCCTGTTCAGGTGTCACTTCCCTGCCTCTCCCTCACTTCTGGAGGGTTTTTCTTTCTCCACTTTTTGTTAGGGTAAGGGTGAGGCTTGCTCATGTGTGAGTGTTTTTAGATCCCTCCATGGACTTGGTCCAAAACCAAGTGAGGACTGTTTGACAGTCAGTAGGGTTATGAAAACTTTTTTCTGTAAGAACTGCTTCTGATTTTACTGCTAGCTGTACTGAAAAGCTGATGCTTAACATTTCAAGTGGGGAAGATTGTCAGTATTCAGTCATGCAACCTATGAAGTTTTAGGCTTTAAGGAGTGATTTTCCCATTTGGTTTCTGTGAGTGGAGGTTGCTACAGGCTTACAGGTTTGCTTCGTCTCGCAAGCATGGGATGCATCACTTCATTAAAGCTAATGACCTTGCATCATGCTGATGCCATTGATCTTGCATTTCATTATTTTGATGCACCAAAGCTCGGCCAGGCTGTATCAGGGTAGCTGTGTTCAATGGTAGAGGTTACCTACCAAAAATAAAGGTAACTTGGTACCAATCAAAGTGTTTAAATGAAATCAACTGTGAGCTGACAATATTCAAAATGCATTCTGAATTCTTTTTAAAAGGAAATGAAAGCATGCACAGTTCCTCTGCCCATAGGAAAGGCACCGAACGGTATTCACGCTGAAGCTCCCAGCCGCTGCCGCAGTGTCAGTGCTCCTGTGGGCCAGGGAGAGAACAGCCTCTGCACACCTGGAGCTGCCAGTTCTGCATGCAAATATTAGGAAGTAGTTTCTTTTTGCTGCAGGTATGAATATTTGCTTGCTAAATGCTGGGTATTAGCTCTAAGACCGATACCCTGCATTCAGTAGCTCTCTATCCTGTCACTATTCAGATTGGTCAGAAGGGAGATCTCAGGATATTTCTTTTGCTTAATTCAAGAGGCTCTACCTGAGGTAAACCACACTGTGCCAGGACTAAAGGTGGCAGTTAGTGTGTTGGACAATAAGTGAGATCCTTTGTAAGCAGTTACGCTGACGTCTCTCCCAACAAATTTGCATCATTAAAACACCTTTGGAAAAATGTGTCATGCATATAATTAAATACCTGTTTGGCTAACTCTTAATTTAATTAATGCAAAGTGAAGATGGCAGCGTGAATTAATTGAGAGGGAAATGGCTTTCCTCTCAGTGGGCTGAAGGGAGGGTTTCTGGAGGCATTGTGCCCTCAGAAATGTGCAGGTGAACTCTGGGACTGATTGACACAGTTTTTTGACAGTGATAGAACTGATGTCCTCACAGCAGTACGTATGTCACATATCAGCTCATTTTTCTCCCCTGTGAAAGCAAAGAGGAAATCCAGAAGGCACTTTCTTTGGGAGAACAGCACAGCTGCTTTTCAGCCTTACCTTGAGAGATATTTGGTAGCAGCCACAGCAAATTCAACCTCAGACAGATGAATGAAAAGAAATTCGTGTCACAAAAGGTCTTTCTGTGTCTCCCATTGATTTCTTTCTGTGCCTGTATCTTCCTCTCTCAGTTGGTGCCTATGCTTTTTCCCCTTAGATACAACTTTCCTATTCATCTGCTTTAAATATTAATTCTTCTTAACTTTCTTTAAAGACTTCCCCATAGAAGATCTTCTTTTGGTTTGACCTCTTTGCTAACCTTGTGTATTTCCTTTTTTTTCCCCCCACCATTTTGGTCTTTTTCTCCCTGCTGTTAAATCTTTCCATTTTGCTTGGGATAAAACTGAAGCACAGGTTGTTCATTGTGCTGGTGAGTTGTGAGCTCCATGCTGCAGGAAGCAGGGAATCTGTTGTTGCTTCCTGCAGACTCATATGAACACAAGAACTTACAATTGTCTTCCAGAAATGTTAGTTGTTGGTTTAGCAGCTCTGAGCTCAGCTCAAGTGCATGTATGAAGCATGTATGAATGAAGGAGAATGAAGGAGGCTGATTAGCAGCTCAGCAGGCCAGGCCTGTCAGCTCTGGTTTCAATATCAGCTGCTCAGGGTGTGCATGGGGGGATGGACCCTGCGGGAAGACTGGGGATCAGTGAGGGGCTGAGGCTGGGAACACGTCTTCCCTGTGGTGCTGCCTGGTGCTGGAGCTCCACAGGGACTTCACAGGGACTTTCCTGCATACCCCCTGGATGAGATGAATGCAAACTTGAAGTCGCTTTTGTCTATCTGTGGTAGGCTGAATGCTTCTGGCTTCCCGTTCAGCACTGACTTTTAGTATGATCCAGTTTTTGCAATTGGAACCAATGCTTTTAACAACCTTTTACATGTTTGTTTGGTGAAAAATGGGATCTGTTTGACAGGAAACTTTAAAGCTGCCACAATCATCTTGTTTGCTCTTCCTTTGTTCCTTTCACTAGAGCTGCATTAGCTGCAACTGTCCTTTCATTCTCTGGCATCCACAGTGTGGGATGTGATTGTGGAACTGAGAAGCTGGGGAAGGGATGCAGGGTGCAAACCTCAGTGCCCATTCATGCTGTGAACCACTCTGCAGGGATAAACGGTGGTCTCCTTGTAGAGCCCCGTGATCAGACATCTTCAGAGAGCTAAGATTGCAGTTGGCTTTTTTGGGGTGATCGTGCAGCGTGTGTCCTGTGCAGTGTGTGTCCTGCTGGGCTCGTGCTGCAGCAGCAGAATGTAAGGAAGCCTGGGTGAGGGGAGGTGCTAGGACAGGAGGATTTGCAAAGCTGCTGTGGCAAGCACTGTGCTCAGCCTGCTCTCTGGTGGTAGCTGCTGTAGCAGGGATGACCTTTGATAAAAATGTGAAGCATTTGATTTGGTTGGGGTGGTTGTGGTGGCTCGGCTCCATACAGCTCACAGCAGTCATCAACTCAGCTGCCTGTGCTTTTGTTCCCTTACTCCTGGGCAAAATTCCTAGGTAAAAATTGAAATCACAGCAGCTTTGGGAAGAGAACTGCCAGCAAAGTTCCCCTGTGCAATTTCTCCAGTGTTTGACAAAGAAAGATCTCCATTCCATTTCACCTTTATTTCAGGTCAGGAGAGTAGACAACAGGTAACTGCTGGCCCACAGCATGGGAGAAATAAGCATCTTGGGGATCTTCTGTCAAGTTTGGCTGAAGACAGCCAACAAATTCCAAAAGCTCCTGCCAGAACTGAGGTGCAGAGACACTTAAGTAGGCCACTGGCTTGTGGTCGGTCTCATTTCCTTGGCTGGCTTTGGGAGTGGGACATGGGATGGATACTTTCTGTTTAGATGACAAGGCACAAACTGTTTGGCTCCTTTGTGCGAAGCTGTTAAAAGGAAGGAAGTGCTTGATATGTTGTTCAGAGGAGGCTGGCCAGTTGTGCTTGTTGGGAGCTTGAGCAAGAGAGTCATGATGAGAGCTTCTGCCTTTCAGCCCTGAAAACATATGGTGGTGTTTGCTGTCACCCTAGTGCTGGTTTTGCCATTTTTGTCAGGGGAAGAAGGAAGAATGGGGTAAATAGTTTTGGAGAGGGTAACTTGGGACCCTCTCTTGTTTTTGACATCCCACTAGTAAAATGCCAGCCCCATTTGTGTCTCACAGAAGATAATTCTTGATGTGGAAGATGCCTCTTCCAATAGTGACTGGTATTGCAAAGCAGGATTTGTTTTACAGTACCTGAGGGGTGTGACAGCCATCTCTGTGGTCTGTTAGTGCTGAAGGCACCAGCAGGATCCAAGAACCTGTAGGGTGTGCATGCAGGAGTGAGCATTTGTGCTGGGGCTGGCTGGAGGGGTCTCCAGTTTATTTCCTTTCAACAGTGGAGGTGGCACATCATTGCTGTTTTTGCATTTTATATAACTCAGTATCTGCATGTGGCCAGTACTCTTTTTGCTTAGAAATATGACGTATGCTGTGTCTTTGAATTGCAGTGTTTAAGACTGTGAAATTTAAAGGTAATTGAAGCAAATTCAGATTCTGTTTTTCATTGTGAATTTCTTTGGCCCACTAGAGACAACTTCTAACAGCACCAGCAGCCATGTCTGCTGCTGTCTTCCTACAGTAAGAGGTTAAGAGTTGACAATCAATGAGCCAGAGATAATAACTTAAAAACATGGAAACTCTGTGGTAAAAACTAAAGAATGAAACCTGTGGCATAATGCATCTGTCAGTATTAGATGCAAATGGGAAATAATGCAGTGTGCAGTGAAAGGCGTTTGGGTTGTGTGTATTTTGCCAAGCATGGGAGCAAATCCTCCTCTTGCACAGAAGCTGAGATTTTGGGTTGGTTGAATCATAGAATGGCCTAGGTTGAAAAGGACCTCAAAAGTCATCTGGTTTCAACCTCCCTGCCATGGGCAGGGTTGCCAGCTATTAGAACAGGCTGCCCAGAGCTGGTGATCTTTGATAAAGCTTCTACCCCTGCTTCCTGAAGTCTGACATGGGATAGAAAAGCTTCAGTTGGAACCAGCTGCTTGGTGGGCCTCATCTTTTTCAGAGTGCTGTTTGCTTTCCTCAGATCCCAATTAAAACCTGTGTCAAACTTGGGTTTATTAGAAGCAGCCAGAGCTGTGGTATTTATTGTGAAAGGAATGTGCTCCTCACCTTTCCTCTCTTTCCTTTCAGAGTCAGCATTCTTCAGGGGAGGACATGGAAATCTCCGACGATGAGATGAACTCCGCGCCCATCACCAGTGCAGAGTGTGCCAAAACCATTGTGGTCAACTCCTCAGTCAGCAACGCAGCCGTCATGGCCCCATCCATCCCTCCTCTGCCACCGCCGCCTGGATTCCCTCCTCTTCCTCCTCCTCCACCACCACCTCCACAGCCGGGTTTTCCGATGCCTCCGCCGCTGCCTCCTCCGCCTCCTCCCACACACCCTGCTGTCACCGTGCCCCCTCCACCGCTCCCTGCTCCCCCTGGGGTCCCTCCACCTCACATCTTGCCTCCGCTTCCTCCCTTCCATCCCGGCATGTTCCCAGTCATGCAGGTGGATATGATAAGTGTCTTGGGCAACCACTGGGGTGGCATGCCCATGTCCTTCCAGATGCAAACTCAGATGCTCAGTCGGATGATGCAGGCACAGAACACATACCAGTATCCGCCTTTCATGGCGGGCAGGATGCAGTTTGTGAATCTGCCGCCCTACCGCCCGTTCTCTATGGGAGCAGCTCTTGGTCGTGGGCAGCAGTGGCCACCACTGCCCAAGTTTGACCCCTCGGTTCCACCGCCGGGTTATGAGCCCAAGAAGGAAGATCCCCACAAAGCCACTGTGGATGGAGTCCTCCTGGTCATCGTGAAGGAACTGAAGGCTATCATGAAAAGGGACCTGAACCGGAAAATGGTTGAAGTGGTTGCATTTCGGGCATTTGATGACTGGTGGGACAAGAAGGAACGGCTGGCAAAGGTAGGCTTCTGTGTTGTGTGTGCTGGGTCACAGTGCTTGTGGCCAGTCTTGGGTAAGAAGGGATCTGGATCTGAATTAAGAAACGAAGCAAAAACAACAAAAAAACCCCTTAAATGTTATGATACCTAGAACTGAAGCAAAAAAATAGAACCACAGAATAGTTTTGCTGTGAGAAACCCTATTGGTTGGGTGCTGAAAGTAAATGGGAAGCAGATGTGTCCTGCATCTGCCTCCCTGGTCTCCGTGCGAGGTGGGTCAGGAGCAGCAGATTTCAGCCTTGGGACAAGTTAGCACCCAGGTGTTAAACCTGGCTCAGTTTTGTGGTGTTGCTATGTGCATTTCGTGCTACTTTTCCATGAGAACAAATATGGTCTTAGATGAAGGAACCTTGTTCCCCTCCCACTCTGGGGCATGATCCGAGGGGGACAATGAACAAACCTTCTGTTTTTCCAGACAATCTGAGGGGCTGTAACATCCTCACTTAGAGAGGCATTGCAACCACCCCAGTCCATGAGCTAGGTGACGTCTGAGCATCACTGCAGCCACTGATGCATCTCTGCAGACTTGCCCTGCCAAATCTGAACTCCACTGAGCATCAGTAGTGGGGCAGGCACAGCTGCTCCTTCAGGTAGAATGGGAGAGCCTTCAATGTTAAGCAGCATTTCTATTAAACTCCTAAAGTTCAGTTTTTTACCCTTGCTTCTCCTCTCTCTTTTCACCCTTTGCTAAAGTCCCAGGGCATAAAATTGGAGAAGTGTGGAAAATTTTTTTTTGTAGTCCAGGCCACTGGTGGCTGCTTCCAGGAAGGAGTTTGCAGGAGGGAATGACCCCAAGATTGGGATACAAACTGGGGAAGGCTTCTTTCATTGAAGAGGAAGCTGAGCTTTGGGTTGTGTGTATTTTGTATTCTGCTCTAAAAAGCAGGAGTACTTGAAAACACGGAACCAGAGCTCTCTGCCCACTTTGTACAACAAAGTCCAGGAACATTCCCAGTTCCGCACTCCTCCCTCCTCCCCAGTGCTTGTATATGGCAGCAATTAATGCAAAAGCTGAACATTGGCCAAATACATGAGGATTAGTTAAGGGGACAGCTTTGCATGAATTGTCTGATCCTTTTTCAGCCAATTTCGAGCATTCCTCAGCAAGCAAACTGCTCTGTGGTTTAATACACGGTGAAATGAGCTCTACCCAAAAAAGCTATTCCTACAGAAAGATTCATGCAACCTTCACAGTGACTATTACAATGAGTTGTTTAAAAAATATATAAAAATATAAAAATAAATAAATAAAGCAACACCACAAGCCACAGCTGCCCTTTTTGTTTCAGGTACCAGTTTCCAGAGCAATGCCCTCACAACAGGCTCTGTAAGCTGGTTGCATGTTAGCTTTCATGCCTAAGATTGCTCCTTGGTTTACGGAGAGGTTGATATTGCTGCTGCAGAGCAGCTGCTTCCTGACAGTGTGATCTGCTTAGAGCTGGCTGTTGGGCAGTGAGGAGCCTGGTCCTCTGCTCCTGGCTAATGCACAGAACTGCTGCCTTCATCAGCAGGTACGTGCTAGTGGTGCTAGAGTCAGTCCCTGAGCTTCCAGGAGAGCAAGAGGAAGGGATCCCAAAAGCAGCAGCTGAAGTACCCAAGAAATTGTTTTAAACCAGGCTCTGCAGTGAAGAAGGAGAAGCAAGTTGAGGCAGGTGTGCAGCGGTGCTCGGGCTCCTGTATGTACCGTGCTGGGGTTGGGTTTAGAATGTTTCTCTCTCACCTGGAATTTGCAGACCACATTGGTAAGGGAAGCTGGCTGTTCCACAGCGCCTTGGCACAGCACAGGTTGTGCTGAAGGTGAGCAATCTGATGGAACACATGGAAAAACTTGGGTTTTTTGTCCAGGAGCCATTGCTGCTTCAGGGCAATGTCCGGAGAAGCTTCTGCCAGGCTGTGTGTCATGTTGCACATGGGGAAACCACCCAGGTCTGAGCCTTGTTTCTGCTAGGCCCAGCCATTAGCTGTCTGTGTTTGCCAAAGAGAACAAACTAGGAATATTCAGCTAAGTGGCACCTTCCTGTTGCTGGTAGGTTCCTGTCCAAGGACTCCTTGGGGACACTGGCGGGCTGGGGCTCCACACACTGGCATCACTGATTTTTCTAGAACAGACCAATGCCTCCAGGCACTCTTAGAGCTGAAAGGTCATCAGCACACAAGTGTCTCCCCAAAACATGCCCTTTGTTCCCATTTCCTCCTTCCTAATGGTTTTAATAGGAGCTCCTGATATAATTTTTCCTTTCTGATTAATAGCAGTGAAATAAACTATTATTTTTCAGATTTTTAGAAGTATAAATAAGTCAACATATGTGCTTGTTTTCATCTTTCTCTCTAGAAATGTACGAGGCAGGTTTGTAGGGAGGAAGGTCTTTTAATACCTCGTGTCCTTGGACCATCGGCTGCAGCAGCCCTCCTCTTCCTTCACAGTGGAAATGGAAGCTCATTGTGACTGTGTTTGAGCTCCTCCATGTGCTGGTTCCTGCAGTCAACGTGTCCCTCTGTACAAAGGCTTCCAGAAGCCTTGTGGTGTTATTTTTGGGCTTTTTCTTTTTTTCGTTTTTCCAGGCTGCTCAGCAGTGTTCAGTCAGAAATTATCTATGGAGCATTTCTGACTGCTTCTGAGCTTTCTGGGGCTGTTTAGGCTGGGGAAAAGGAGGCTGAGGGGAGACCTTATTGCTCTCTTCCAATAACTGAAAGGTGCTTACAGCAAGAGCAGGGTTAGTTTCTTCTCACTGGTGACAGGTGACAGAACAAGGGGAAATGGCCTTAAGTTGCACCAAGGGAAGTTTAGGTTGGATATCAGGAAAAACTTTATAGAAAGGGTTGTTAAGCACTGGATTAGGCTCCCCAGGGAGGTGGTTGTCACCATCCCTGGGTGTGTTTAAACTGTTTGGATGCGGTGCTCAGAGACATGATTTATCAGAGGGTTGTTAGAGTTAGGGTAGTTTGGTTAGCTTGTGGTTGGACTCGATGATCTTTAAGGTCTTTTCCAACCTGAGCAATTCTATGATTCAGCACTGCATAGAAACACAGCATACTTATCACTCCAATGCCTCAGCTTTTGTTTCTCCCTTTTCTGGCTGCTATATTAACATGGCTGCTGCTGATTGCCAAAAACATATTGCTATGGGTGTAGAGTGGGGAAAACTCGAAGGTAAAGCTAGTGTCCTAGGTCAAGCATGATGGAAAGCGTGTGGGGTGAACACTGTGAAGGAGCATGGTGCTGAGGAGGCAGCACGTACCGTGGTCTTTGCCTGGAAAACACTTTCCAAGTCTAGTGCTGCTTGGGTGGCTGAGCAAGATGCATTAAGCACAGTGCCAGGAATAACCAACCATCCCTGGGCGTGGAGGGCTGCTGTCTGAGTTCTCTGCTTGATATTCCCATTAGTACTGTCCTTTATTAGCAGCAGAGTTGAGCTTACACTTCCTTTTCAGTGATTACAATCTAGCAAATTAGCTCTGTTAGTGTCTGTAAGTGAAAATGACTTTTAGCTGATGTTGCACCACTGACTGATGCAAGTGAACATTACCTCCAGTGTCCTTTGCTCAGGACAGGCATGCAGTGATGTCGGTCTGCTTTGCTACTTGATGGCTCTAAATGCAAGATCTCTTGGTGTCCATGCCAAACTACTCCTCTGAGAGTCCCCTCAGGTTTGTCTTCAGCAGTTTTAGTGCCTGTGCAGAGCAAATAACTTGTTAAAATGTAAAGGGGAGACTTCTCGAAGATGGGAAGGTCTTACTGTCAACAAGAGCTTCTGCACTTTTTCCCTTTCAGGTGTTGTGGTCATGTGGTGCATGTCCAGATGCCTTCACAGAAACTGATGCCTAACCTAGGGACGGGTATTTCGTGAAACACAGCTATCTAAATTGCTTCTGGAGTTCACATTCTCCCTAGGAAACTTCTCCTCTCTTAAAGGTCTTTTTTTTTTTTTTTTTTTCCCCTTCTGTTGCAGGCATCTCTCACACCAGTGAAGTCTGGAGGAGAGCTGGAGGAGAAACCAAAGCCAAAGGATCGAATCACATCTTGCCTCTTGGAGAACTGGAACAAAGGCGAAGGCCTGGGATACGAGGGAATTGGCTTGGGCATTGGGTTACGAGGGGCCATCCGGCTGCCATCCTTCAAGGTAAAAACAGAGATCTGTCTTCATTACAGTAACATTCCCTAAAGGTGCAGTAGGAGAACAAACCTAGCTAGGTTTGTGCCCCAAAGCCCCACAGGCTGTTAGCCGCACACTGTTCCCTTGTAAGATTCCTTCCTCCAGTATCCCTTCTAACCCACCAGTGAAAAAACAAGGATGCTCTTACCCAGCCTTAGCTTTCATCTACCATTGTGTGAGCTGTTGGTAAAGGATTTCTGCTCTGTAAGGTAAATGGAGCATGCGCCCATGTCAGCTGAGGCAGAGTTTCAGCACGGTTGTAAAAATATGCTTATGCTAGTAGCACTTTACACAGTTATTTCTTTGCTTAGAACTCTGTAAGCAGTTTATTCAGAGCTGGATTTACCATTCATAATAGGCCTGTAGCGCCACTAGATTCCTGGATTTTGAGGCTTGGCTCTTTTGCATAAGTTGACTGTAATGTCTTACAGTTTGGCAGCTGAGTCACACCTGAAATTTGATTTAAAATGTTTTCTACCTCATGTGAGTTTATGGGATCAGACTTACAACTATGGGGTCATTAATTTTAAAGATTATTTGTGCTTTCTGCCAAGAAGTAGAAGCATAAAAAATGAAAGTTTTTTTTTTCTTTAGTAGTTTAAGCAAAAAATAAGTGGTGTTAGGGAGGACTTCCTTGAAACTGAAGTTTTGAATACAAAGGGAAAGCATGTAAAGATTTGGGACTAGAGATTCAGGAGTCTTGATTTAAAATAAAACTTGTTTCAAGGTTCTTTAAGATATTGTAGGCTCAGACTCCTTTTCTGTTCTGCTACAACTCAGACCGATGCATTTGTCACAAGCTAAATCTGTCAGATTCAAAGTACCTGATGATGACATGCACCATGCTGACATGGAAAGTGTTTTGATTTAAAATGAAGGGGTGGAATTTCATTCACAGTAAAATGCTGTTTGCAAGAAAATAAAAGGATCAAGAGCCGGGAAAGTGGCCCTTGATTTCTGGGTGTAAGTCACAGTAGCAAAGTGAAGCAGTAGCAGTTTAAGAAGTTGATTTCTGCTGTTTCTAAACTCTTTTAGAAATGCAAATTTTGTCTTTTGTTCAGGTGAAAAGAAAGGAGCCACCAGAAGCTGCCTCAGCAGGAGATCAGAAGAGAATCCGGCCTTCTACTTCTGTTGACGATGAAGATGAAGGTTTGCACAGCACATTTGTTTCAAACCCGAGCAGATGCAAGCCACATGCAAGCTGAATTCTTTTAAACTTCACAGCAGTGTGCTCACTTACAGTTAGACACAGAGTAAAGGATTTGAGCCGAAGCCCTGCCTCTTGCAAAACTCTCATCAGCTGGGAGGTGTCTCCTGTGGATTCAGTTATCTTACATTCACTGGTGGGAAATTTAAGACCTGCATGTTACAAACACTCATGCCCTTTTGTAGATTTGGTGATGCAGAGCTGGTCACCCAGTAGAGGGAGCTCAGGTTAGTTCATGGACTGTATTCTAGAGGCGTGCTTGCAAATCACTGTGTATGCTGAGGGAGAAAGCAAGTAAGGGACAGTTTGCCCTGTGCAGTTTTTAAATTTATTTGCTGGAAGAATCTATTTTCAAATATTAACTTTTTTTCCCCCCTGGAAACATGGAAGAATGGAGATAAGGGTATTCAAAGCCTCACATCTTTATTTTGCATTAAAAAGTGGATTTAAAATAGTTGTACTATAACCTTGATTCAGACTAGTAATTGATTTTAAAGTTAAAGCATAGAAACAAAGGTTTTGCTTTTTGTTTTGTTTTGTTTTTTTTTAACTGAAAAGAGAGAGGAATTAAGTCATAAGAACCAAGGTTAACTAAACTTTTCATAACTAGACCCACAAATCCATCAGTTCTTCAAGAAGTAAAGCAAACCCTGAGTTGTTAAAGCATTAGTATCCCTCAGTGTGTCTCTGTTTAGGGAAGCGTACAGGGAGTTTCCCGACATGAATCATGCATTGTACCCTTCCTTCTGATTCATGAGGAAGCTTGACTCCACTGGTGCAATATATTCTTATGTTTCTTGATTCAGCCTCTTCTGTATTCTATTCTGATATTCCTGTCTCAAAAATACATTTTTCTTAAGGATGGTACAGTTTTGTATTACTGTTCTCTAAGCAGTGACCAAGACTGTGGGATGAGACAACCTCTTTGGCTTTCCTATCATGATCTCATGGTGCCATGTCTCTTAGCTGTTCCACCTAGAGTTGTCAGCTTTCACTTCCTGCATAACGCCTTCCTTGGGACTTTCAACACTTTGCACCCAGTCTCACCCTCACTTGCACTGTGAAATTAGTAAGTGCCTGTGAGCTTGGGGACTCACACCACATGGACACATTGCCCCAACTTTGATCTTCCCAAAGCAAAAGCTTTCACAATGTTGTCTGCAAGTCTCTTGCAAAATATTTGATGTCACTTTCCTTGGTTTTGCTCACCAGAGTTGGAGAGGGACAGAGATGCTTCCGATACCACATCCGACCTGTCAAAGAAGGATGCAGAAGCAGTGGGGCTGAGGCGGCGACCAGCAAGGCCACTGGAGCTCGACAGCGAGGGGGAGGAGGGAGATGAGACATCAGGGAAAGAGGAAGAGTCTTCCTCAGAGAAAGAAGAAGAGCAGGAGGAAGAGGGAGGCTTGGTGAAAGCAGCACCTGGCAAGGTGTGTTGGTTTGTGATCGCAGTTCTGAATGCTGTCTGTCATTAAAAGGGGTCCTAGTAATTCCAAATCTCAACGTTATTTTCTCTAGAAGATGAGTGCTTGTCATAGGGTCTCTCCTAAAATAATCTCTGTATGAGAGAACCCCTCAGGTTCTCTGATCGGCATCTCTGAGAGTCACTGGTAATTACTGTAGTGACAGCCAGGTCAGTGGGTCAGACACTGTTAATTTCTCACAATGCTTTCTTGTGAAGGAGGAAGAGGAGGATGAAGATGATGAGGAAGATGAAGATGACGATGAGGATGATGAAGATGAAGAGGATTATGAAGAGACAGGTATTGAAACAAGTGACAAAGAGGAAGAGCAGGACTCTGAAGAGGGTAAGCAATTCCAAGGAAAGCAGCAAGTTTGTCTTTTAGGTCATTTGGGATCTCCCTTTTGCACTCTATTCGTAAGCCAGTGTTTATTTGTGCACCCCTTTGACTGAAAGGCAGTTCTGTACAAGGTAATTTATGCAGATATACATAGTCCCAGTACAAATGTATTTAAGAGACAGTCTGCCAAGAGAGTGATGTGGGCAGGGTGCCAGGCAGTGCTAGCTCTACTGCTTATGGAGCTGCCTGCTGTATGGTGATTGCTGTTAGCATCCAAATACTTGGTTTAATAATCCCTGCAAAAATAAACTGTGAGATCTTGAGACTTTGATTCCTTCAAATCCACCTGTTGCTGTTGATGTCATTACAAGTGTGGAAACAATATTTGTTCCTGTAGTAGAGCCTGATTGTTTACTGAAGTCAGAAAGCAGAACTAATGGTAACCTGCTCTTCTTGTAGAAGATGTAGCGAGTCCCTCATCTTCCAAGGCTGAAGTTGAATCATCAGATGAAAGTGAGGACTCCTCTGAATTTGAATCAAGTTCTGACTCAGATGAAGATGATGATGAGGAGGAGGAGGATGAAGATGAAGAAGAGGAGGAGGAGGAAGAAGAGGTGGCTGAAGATCAAGACAGAGAAGCCATGGTTGCTGAGACGGAGCATGAACCTGCCAGTCATGAGCTTCTCGATGATAAGAGGGAGACCATTTTGGAGCTATATCCTGTGGACTACATGGATGCAACGGGCTTGGGACTCTCAGAGCCAGCTTTGGTAGAGAAGGATGAAGGGATGGAAGAAGTCAAAGCAGAGGAAAGTGAATGTGATCAAGTCCCAGAGGAATCTATTGCTGCTGAAACACTCAAACAGTTGGTTATGGAAAGAGACCAGGAGCCAAAACTTGCACTGTCTCCCATCTGCAGGCCAGGTATAGTCTTCCTTTTGGTTTGGCACTTATTGTTTTTCCAAATACAGTATTCTTGCAGCATCCAATATGTATGATTTTGTTTCCGTTGTTCTTTCTTTCTTCTTGGCTCTAGGCTAGGGATTGTCTGTATCTTTTCTTCCTAGTAAAGTTCAGCACAGAGCTTTTTGCTTGGACAGATAATGGTGGGTTTTGTATCCAGAATCTTGTCCTGGACCAATTTAGTTAGTGTCCTGCAGGAGCTGAGTGGTTGTTATCATCCAGAGGTGACTGGAAGGTGTGATGGCTGAAGCTAAAGTTAGTAAAGCCGTGGCTGCTAAAACGAAACATGAATCTGTGCCTAATGAGTCATTACTGACTGTTCTTGGTTTTAATACCAAAGAAGTATGTGACTGTTAAACTGCATGTGGCAGGTGAGTAGAGTTTTAGAATTGTATGTGATTCATGGTACTTATTTTTATTATTTTAAACTTAGTTCTTTTAAGTGAATGATACCCCCTGATTTGCTGGAAGAACAAATTTGTCTTGATTCAGTACATAGTTGTGTATAGCCCATGAAGACTAGAATAGGAGTAGAATGCAAAAAGCTTGGCAAATTCTGCAGCAGGAAGGGGGGAGCCAGCAGGGAGTGCGTGTCTAGTGTAGTGAGCCTCAAGCACGTTGGGTGTCTGAGGGCTGTAGATCTGGGAACTGGGCAGTATTTTGTCACCTGCAGAGCTGGAAATCAGGTCTCTGCCCAGGATATCACTCCTTGGCTGTTATAAAATCCGAAAGACATAAAGGCTAGATGTTAAATCAGGCACAAGCTCAAACTGCAGCATTCTTATTGTGCTTGCCCAGCCTGGTCATACAGGAGTGACACGGGTCTGACCCTTCTCCTGTGATTCTCTGGTTCATTCAGCACAGATGGACAACAGTTCCCCTCCAGTTCTCCAGGCGTTTCCCCTTCCTTTTGCTTTCCCACTTGAAAATGCTATTTTGAGCTGCCTAAGATGATTCACTGTTGATTCATTTTGGCCCTGGATCTAAGGAGGTAAATAAACTCCAGACAAATGAGCCTGCTGCAGAGAGAGAGCAGCATATAAATTGCCTCACTGATACCATCTGAGTGACTCCTCATTCATTACAAGGGCTTTCCATTTCCTTCATGTGTTGTTTAGGGGTGTTATGCTTTTCCCTTCCTTGTTTCTATCCTTGGAGAGCTGAGGGTACTTCTTAGCCCTACAATTAGTTTACCTGCCCAATCAGAAAAGCTGATTGCTTGGGGCTCTGACACATGTCCTCCACAGCCTTTGCCCTGCAGTTCACTAATGCTTTTTATGTCTGCAAAAAGGTGGTCAGGGGGTTTGAAAGCAGAAAGCCTTCATTCTGGGCTGTGTAGTAGCTAATTCTCAAATTAATAGTGTGTTTTTTTAATGGTCGATTAGGGATGTCTGTGGTAGTGTCTAATTACTCCATACTCTGTCTCCAAAATGTAAAGCACTGGTGCTTTTAAAGCTTCCCAGTGGAACTGAACTGCTCTGTAACTGCAGCATCTTCAATCTGCCTTTACTGGCAAGTGGTGTGTAACCAAGTGGAAGCAACACTTGTGATTCTTTAATTTTTTTTTTTCCCTAGTGGAAGAGCCTGAACCCATCGTCATGCTGGAGCCGGAGGTACAAGAATGCCCAAAGCCTGAATCGCAAGATGAGGCTGGCACAGTCTGTCTCTCGACTCCAGTGGCAGTCTTTGGAGAACCTCTGCCCAGCAAAAGCAGCTTCTTTAGGAAGTCTGATGACAGCTGCTTAGAAACGCATGTTAAGACAAAGCTGCCCTCTGCAGTGGAGGAGGAGGACAGGTTGCCTCGCACGCCTGGACGGGAAGCAGTGGTCCATTCAGAGACTGATATTCTTTTGCTCCCAGCCCACAAGGTGCCATCCTCCACGCTTCCCTTACCATCGACTCCTGGTAAAGAGGAATCTGTAGTCCCTCCAGAAAAGTTCCCTGAACAATTAATGGTGACCAAAACGTCCATAGAAGAGGAGATTCCTAGGACTCCTGGGCGGGACATTTTGGCCAAGTCTTCACACCCCCTTGCAAAGTCGCAGAGCACAGACACTGTTCCAGCCACGCCAGGAAGTGATGCTCCCCTTACAGGAAGCAGCTTGACCCTCAGTTCCCCTCAAGTCCCAGGGAGCCCCTTTTCCTACCCATCCCAGTCTCCTGGCATTAACAGTGGTATTCCTCGGACTCCTGGGAGAGATTTCAATTTCACGCCTACTTTCCCAGAGGCTGGTGCTACCATTCCTTGCCTTCTGTCTGGCAAGAAACAGTCAGAGGATGACCTAGAAGAGAAACCTTTTAAAGAGCCTCTTGGTGCTTCCCTTACTATCAGCATGAACAGCGTTCCTTCTCCTATCCCCTTTGCCAGCCCCACGCAAGCAGATTTCCGCACAGACATGGGCTTGCCATCTAACGAGCCAATACCCATCGCAGCCCTGCCATGCATGCCTGGAGATGGAAGAATGCCCATCGAGGAGTGCAAGGCAGAAGTAAAATCTGTTTTGCTCTCGCCAGAAGCACCCGTTGGTGCATCTATTCTTCCTCCACCACCACCACCTTCTGTTCTTCCCAAAAGGAGGCCGGGTCGGCCAAGGCGGTCCCCACCTTCTGTCCTCTCATTGGATATGTACTCGGGCAAAGCCATCGAGCCACCCCCTGTCCCTGTGGCTTTGGTGGAAAGTGCTATGAGCAAAGAGCTTCTGAGTGCACACCCCGATGCTTTCTATGGACTGAAGGACCCTGAAGCTGTCACCCTAGATTTCAGGAATGACAGCTTCCACGAGAAAATAGCAGCTGAGACAGTTGCAGAGAAACTGCCATTTAAGGAATTGGAGAACCAGTGGAATGAAGATTTCAAGGAAGAAGAAGCTCACGTGAAGCCTAAAAGACAGTGGCGAAGGCAGAAGAAGTCACCCGAGCACCTTCCAGTGATTCCTTCCCCAGAATACTCCCCACCCCAGCCTCAGTTCAGGCCACGCTCCGAGTTTGAGGAGATGACCATTTTGTATGATATTTGGAATGGAGGCATAGATGAGGAAGATATCAAATTCATGTGTATCACGTATGACCGCCTCCTGCAGCAGGACAATGGTATGGACTGGCTCAATGACACACTGTGGGTATTCCATCCTTATATCCTTTCTCACTGGTGCTCTGCATTACACAACACTTGCAAGATGATCATTTTTTGCAAAAATGATGGGTAATGTATGGGTATTTTTGCAAAAATAATGGGCAGAAGCCTTTGCTTATTAAAATAGCAATTACTTATTCCTGCAGAGAATTTTAGACTTTTATTCCCTGAAGCTGTAATACAGAAATATTGCAGAAGTGGCTGTTGTGCTGCATTTTCCAGCTAGGACTGAAGGGAAATCTGTATGTATCTCTTCTGGGGAGATTTCTGGGTAGCTACTTTGTATGTTAGACAAGACAAACTGCACTGCCCCATATATTGCTAAAGATTTGTGGAATTAAAATATCTGATCCCCTAACTCCTCAAGGGAGCAGATTTACTGAGGCCTGTGAGGGCAGTGTCTCTGAGTGCCTATGGCTGATCCATTGCACCTTACCCAAGGCAGGGGGGTGAGATCACTGTACTGAGCTCAGCCTCATGTCTTCAGAGCTCGGGGTGACTTCTGGAGGGGGAACAAAAGTGTTCTTTCAAAACTCCAAGGAAAAGGGTGCAGCCAGATGGGTGGGCAGCTGCTGTCCGTGTTCACGGTTGGTGCTACACGGAAATCTTTTTCCAAAAAGGTTTCTCTTGACAGTTAAATGTTTTTATGTTTCAAACACTTTTTTCTTAATTTCCCGAAGCATGCAGCTAAGGAAAGAACTGGGTTTTCCTGTAGGCATATGGGCTTGAGGAATTTTTTTAAAATAGAATTGTTTCTTGCAGCCTCTCCCAACAGCATTCCCCATTTTCCAAGCTGCAGCTGCTAGCTCCGTGTAACCACAGGAGGTTTTTTGTCTGATACCACCTGGCAGCTGCTTTGCTCCTTAACTTCTTTCCACCTACCAGCTTTTCCACCCCCAAGAAAAAGAAGCGGGACGATGGGATGCGGGAGCACGTCACGGGCTGTGCACGAAGCGAAGGCTATTACAAAATCGATAAGAAGGACAAACTCAAATACCTCAATAATAGCCGAGCTTTTGCAGAGGAGCCTCCAGCTGACACGCAGGTGAGGGCATGTCTTCTGCTGATCACCAGGTGTGAGTGAGATTTGACTTTGTATGGCCTTGTGCCCGCTGCAGCCCACCTTTTGGCAGGGAGGGAGATGATGCTGTTGCTGTGCCTGTGTTGAGCTGGCCATTTGGGTAGTGCTGCTGTTCAAAGTAGGGTGTTTCAGAAGGCCACGTGTTCTGTGATGATATGGCACAAGAGACTGCACACGGGTGGGGTTGCAGGGCGCTTTGTCCGTTGGTGTCAGCTCTGAAGATGCATTTGTCCTCAGGGGATGAGCATCCCTGCCCAACCTCACGCTTCCACGCGGGCTGGCTCCGAGCGGCGGTCAGAGCAGCGCAGGCTCCTCTCCTCCTTCACTGGTAGCTGCGACAGCGACCTGCTCAAGTTCAACCAGCTCAAGGTAGGTCCCTGTGGGCAGGCTGCATTGGGCAGAGGCTGGCTGGGAGCAGCAGGCCGAGACCAGGGCAAGACAGACAGGGATCTCAGTGCTGGGCGCCTCTGTGTGTGCCCCAGGCCTGAAAGGGGCCCAGAATGGAACTGTTGCTTTGCTTTCTGGTAGAAGTCTCTGTACAGGCTGCGTCAGAGGTGCTCAGCTGGGGAGTTGAGTTCTGCAGCCCTGCTGTCATAGTAGCTCTGGTGAGCAGAAGAGCTGCTCTCAGTGGATCACCCAACACAGAGCCTCTCTGTGGTACAAAGCTCTTCTGTGCTTCCATTTAACCGAACTTAAAGTTCTCTGTGGTCTAATTCACCTAAAAATAGAAACACTGGGAAAACAGGGCACTCTAGTCCATTGTGCTCCCTTGTGAGGAGCAGAGGTGTGATCTGTTTGGTAAATGGCTGTAAATAAGTGCGTGAGCATATTAAGGCCAAGGCAGAATCATCAAGGCTATGCAGAACTGAGACCCCAAGCGGTCTGTTCTCCAAAGCAGCATGTGGTCAGTGGTACAGACCCAAGTCCTGTGTCTCTGTGGGACCTCCTGTGTCCCCTGTACTGCCCTCCTGTCACTGAAAGAAATTGGAAGGAATTTGGGTTGGCTAGAAGCACTACTTGTGGCTAGGGCCAGCCTTTCTCTTTCCATGTTTTCTCTTTCCATGTTGGGACTAATTCAGGGTTTCTGGGGTGTTTTCTTCATGCAGTTCCGGAAGAAAAAGCTAAAATTCTGCAAGAGCCACATTCACGACTGGGGCCTTTTTGCCATGGAGCCCATTGCAGCTGATGAGATGGTGATTGAGTACGTGGGTCAGAACATCAGGCAGGTAAGCTGAAACATGAGTGAAATCTGATCAAAACCCAGCTGAATGAAGTGACTGAGTCTGATGGCTGGGCTGGTGTCCCTGCTGTAGGTCATTAGCTATGTGATCTGGGCAGACTGGCATGTGGTTTAAAAGAACAGGCTGGATTTTCAACACCCCACGGAAATAAAGTGATTACTCCTTAGGGAGTAAGCCTTCCAGAAGCCTATTCTGAACTTCTGGATATTTGGCATCATGTGTCTTGAGCAGCACAAGCACAGCTGAGGTGAGCCTTGTGTAGGTCTTTGCTCCCAGATCATTCCTGCTTTGTGTTCTAATGCCATGCGTGGGTTTTCTGTAGGTCATTGCTGACATGCGTGAAAAGCGATACGAGGATGAAGGCATTGGGAGCAGTTACATGTTCAGAGTTGACCATGACACAATCATCGATGCTACAAAGTGTGGAAACTTTGCCAGGTTTATTAATCACAGCTGCAATGTAAGTATTGATGTATTGTTTTTTCCCCCCTCATATAATTGTACTCTGACATACAGATAAACCTATTGAGTCCTCACTGTTCCTCACTGATCAGGAACACACTGAGAAGTAGCAAGGGTTAGGATTAAGTTAAGGAGCTGCAGCAGATCAAAGCTGGGTCTAAATGTCTAAATCTGTGTAAGGAAGAGATTTGAAGGAGCTGAGAAATTAAATATGCAGTGAGACAGAGTGCAGTCAGAATCCTCCTGACCATATTGTGGGATGCTGATGAATACTGTTCAACCACATCTAATAAGTATTTCCTTAAAACAATTTTAGCAGCTGTTCTGCTGTGGGAACGATCTCATTCTAGTGACCACATGGGAAAAGCAGTCTTGCCCTGGTAGGTGGAGAAACTGCTTTCCCCTGTGTTTTGTGCTGCAGTTGTCACTCAGAGACTTCTGGATGTCCAACCATGTTACTGAGCATTAGCTGAGCTACGGTTAGTCCATGACAAACTTGGTAGAACACTGTGTGGGCTCCTGTGCACTGCAGATGACCACAGTGCCTGTTTTGGAGGAGCACCATTAAGGATGCTCTGGTTTCTGGCTTCGTGCCTCCAAGGCTCCCAGGCTCTGGGAACATGGCTGAGGCTGGCTGGGAAAACCACGGCCCTGCTCTATGTTAGAATAATTGTGTGGAGGCTGGGAAGTCGTGGCATCAGGAACCTAAATCATCACCTGTTCTGTCACCCTGCAGCCAAATTGTTATGCTAAAGTGATCACGGTGGAGTCTCAAAAGAAGATCGTCATCTACTCAAAACAGCACATCAATGTGAATGAGGAAATTACTTACGACTACAAGTTTCCCATTGAGGATGTAAAAATCCCATGTTTATGTGGCTCTGAGAACTGCAGGGGAACCCTAAACTGAACTCGAGGTTTCTCGTCACACTTGCACCTTTGGCCATGTCAAAACTGTGGTAACCAGGTGTGGTTGCACTTTGCCAAAAAAAAAAAAAAAAAAAAAAAAAAAGAAAAAAAAAAAAAAAAAAAAAAGGAAGAAAAAAAATTAAAAAGAAAAAAAAATGTATTTAAAAAAAAAAAAGGAAAAAAGAGAAGAAGAAAACCAAGCAAGTTTCGCCAGGATCACGGATGAAAGCAAAAAGCGCACATGTTAACGAGGACTGTTCATGTTTCAGGTGCTCTTTCCTTTTCAGATCCAACACGCACGCAGAAAGGTGACTGCTGTTCTGTGGTGTGGTCTATCCAAACACTAGCTTCTATCTGTTCAGTCCCTACATTAATGCTCCATAATGGGATAATGGTACCTTTTCTTTTTTTAATTGTTATAAACCTTCATCTTTTCATAAATGCTGCTACCTTTTCCTCATCAGTTTTGTTGGTTGAAAAAGGCATTCAACGTTTAAATGTGAAGCAGAGACTGAAAATGCCATGTAGGGTTTGTTGGGAGCTTGATTGGCTGAAATTGCACAGATTTCTCAGATTAAGCTGTAAATAAATGTCAGGTTAATGTTACAGAGGAAGCCAGAGGCTTGAGGGTGTGTGAATGGGGGTGTGTGTGTGTGTGTGTGTGCACGGAGATGTCTGCAGTGAGACTATAGGTGACCTGTCCTGCCTTTCCATCAGGGGTGAGCCTGAACAAGTCCCCAACGCCAGCCACCCCGGGGACATCAGGGCAGCCATGGCCTGGGCTTTGCCTTGGGCTCATCGCTGATGGTCGCCCGCCATGCTGGTATATTGGGGGATCAAAGCCTCAGCACCCAGACAAGGGAGAGTGGGTACTGCAATCATTGCTAACAGAGTCAGTTGTTTAGTCCCAGAATTGTGGCGCAACGCGTGACCTTTCAGGATCTCTCATAGATTGGTTTGTCTGTCTAGTGTCCAAAAAACCTCTGGAGCTGAAAGCAAGTAGGAAATAAGCCTCAGATATTCCGTAGAAATCTTACCTTCCTTTGAAGGGTACACTGCACCTCATGTTCATGATAAGATTTTATTCCTGTTGATGGGAAACAGTCTGATGTGTTACTCATGTGGATTTTCCTTGATTCTCCCAGCCTTGCCAGTGCTTTACAGGGCCTGTCTGCCCTGGCCTTGAATGGGGAGATTCCTGCTGTGATAGGAGCAGGCCAGACCTCCCCCAGTTACTCAGTAACTTGCCCTGGGTGGTCCCATCCTGCGGTAAGCGCAGACATGGTGGGCAGTGCCCTTGAGCACGGGCTACACCCTGTCCTCCCCCATCTGCAGCATGGCAGTGAGTGCTGCTCTGAGCTCCAAAGGCATGTTTTGGAGTGGTTTTTCGATCTGTTTTGTCCTTGTAGATGTACTGAGGTGAAGTTTGCACTTCAAGAGCCAAAACATGGAATTAATGTTTCTGGGGGTGTGATCTAGGAGTGTTGCACGACTGTTTGGGTATGGGCAGGATCAGTTATTTCAGCCTGCATTGAGTCTCTTCTGCTTCAAATGTAGAGGTAGTTTGTACTAAGCCTTTGTAATTGACTTACAGGGAAATTGCAGTGTAATTATAAAATGCAAACGTCGTCTGCATAACTAACATCTCCTCCCCGTAGAGCAAAAGCACAGCTGTATTCTCGTTCCTTTTCAAATTGGTGACAATTGCTGTCGAACCGCAGCTCCCCATGATCAGAGGGTACAACCTTACAAAAGAGTTTCTTGGAAAGTGTTGCCACCCTTGCTGGGAACTGCCATGCCTGTCCCACGGCTGGGGGCTTGGTGTAGGTTAGGCCTCTGTGCTTGAGTTCCTGCTTTAGACAGAGGGTCTGCAAGAGCCCTGGTGTGCCTGCACTGCTGCCTGAGGGAAGGGAACCGGCCCTGAGGTTGGGCAGCCTGTAGTCTCATCTGTGCTGTTGTTCAGTTTTGTTGTTTCCTATGGTCTTGAGGGTTTCCCCTTCTCTCAGTGAGTCTGCCCAGCAACTGGGTAGTTGTGGGCCAGAACCTGTGAGCAGTGTCTCATTGAGCATAGGCAGTGCATTGAGCTCCTGTGGCAGGAGCTTTTGGGGATTAAGCCAGCTACTCTGTTCCTTTTCTTTAAATGAGGCTCCTATCATGTTGATGCTTCAGTTGGCATCGCTACAGCTGGGTCTTTTGCTTTCAAAGCATTGGGAACGCACAGATGTTGTTTCAGAATGAAGCCCGGCCCTTGTTCTCAGCCTCCTTCCTCTCAAGTCCACCAAACCTGGATGTTAACATGGCTTTGTGGGGGAAAAATCCCATGTGTGCCCAGCCCCGAGGAGCCTGACAGCAGCTCTGTGTTCCCCAGCCTGTCCGTGTGCTTGGAATGGGGCACAGGCTGCTGTGTGTGCAGGGACAGACCCTGGTCTCCTGAGGCAAGGCCTGCAGCTTGGGTTCCTTCAGGGCGTTGGGAGGAGCACCAAAGGGATTTGGATGCCAAAGGCCTTCAGCACCAAAGTCGCTTGGGTGCTTCTGAAACTGCCTGTGACCCATTGCTCTGTAGGATCCCAGCTGGATAAGCCAACCCTGAGCCTTCTCTTTCCTTCCTGCCTCCTGCAGCTCCTCCGAAAGCCGCCCCGTCCCCGATGGGTTCTGGTGATGGTTCCCAGCGGGGCTGAGGAGCTGCAGATGCAGGTGGAGAAGGCAGCCCATAGAGATGTTTTCTGACCCAGGCGCTTTGCCTCGTGCTCCACAGGGCTGGGGTGGGAGGAGGACACTGAAGGGGCAGAGTGCTGGGGGTGCAGCCCCTGGGCCAGACCCAGCATTCACCATCATCACGGGCATGGAAATGTTGGCGAGGGCTGAGCAGAACCCTGCCCAGGACGCTGCTCACCATTTATTGAAGTCATTCTGTTCGCTGTCCCACTTTTTTTCCCCTGCTTAAATCAAACCCTAAAACAAAATAGAGAGGGATGTTGGCTGTGCTCCCTGCAGAACTGCATCTCACTGCAGTCTTGATGGAGTGTGCAGGGCTTGCTCAGGCAGGGTGCACGCAGGGCCCCGCTGTGCCGCCTGGGGCTGCCGTGGCCGTGCAGCACTCGCAGCACTGTGGGTCCCACAGGGATCCCAAGCAGTGGCTGTGGAGGCAGGAGGGGATGGGGCTCATCTTGCAGATATTTGTATTGTATAGAGCAGCTTATTTCTACAGACAAACATTTTTAAACTCCAACAAAGTATGCAGTAATTTCAGTTCTGGTTTTTGTGACTTTTTTCAGGGATCATTTCAGTGCATTTCTGTATAAAATAAAAATTTAAGGAAAAAAAAAAGGATTTTGAAGTCTATTAGAAAAAAAAGCATCTTCTGTACATAGGCAAACAAGAATCTTCTCTTCAAACACTGTTTCTTGTAGAAACATGTTGAAATTTTTTTGCTGATTTCTTTGTACTTCAAGAGCATGTAAATAATTTATTAAAAGTGACTATTGTAATTTGGAGTTCTTTTTAAACAGATCCCAGCTCTGTTTCATGGCAAGGAGATGGGGAGGAAGAAGGACTGAGGATAGCAAAGGAGCTGGTGGCATTTACAGCTTGTGTCAAGCTTTGTATAATGTAAATTCTGTACAAATACGGGGGTTTTGTTTTTGGCTTTTTTTTTTTTGTTGAATAAATAGATGGAATTAGCAGCATTAAGAAACTGAAGACAAAAATTTGCCAAGTCGAGGCTTCTTCCTTGCCCCTCCCCCCAGTCTGAAACCTAATGTGCAAAATCTATTTATTTCAAGCGAGGAAATGTGTACAGTCTAATAGACATCCTGCAATGTATTTAAGCGAGTTTGCAACTGGATTTTTTTTTTTTTCATTTTAATATTTGTTTTTATGAGTTTCCTCCTTAATTGCCACTGTAGTATTTGTTTGAGTGAAAAGAAACACGTTGTGACGGACGCACAGGGCAGGCGGTGAGGAAGTGGAATTGCTCCCTGCAGCGCTCCGGTTCCGTGACAGGTTGTTTTATTTCACGGTGTGAAAATAAAGGGCTTCCTTTAAAAGGGGGCAGGTAAAATGGTTTGCAATAAATGAATGATTATTTTTTTAAGTTCCTTTAAAAAAAAAAAAATCTCTGCTTTGAAGATTTAGGGTTTCTGCTTTTTCTTTTTTTAAGCAAATTTATAAATTTAGGGATGTTTTGTGCATATAGAATCCGTCACCAGTATGTATCTTGTTTTGAAGAAAGTGTTTTTGTTGTGGATGTGTCATGCTGTATATATTTGTTCATATTTTTGTGAATTGAATACTATGTACCATTGTATTATAGTAACTTTTATAAAGCAAACCATAAATATACTGACTTTTCTTACAGAAAAATTATGTTGTGCTTCATGTGTAGTCGGGGCTTTGTGCTCCTGGACCTGTGCTGGGAACTGGGAGAGCTGAAAGTGTCCATCAGAGCGGGCAGGAGCTGACATGAAGCATCGTCACACAGCTGTGGCATGGAGGAAGTGTGCGAGCTGGTCAAGTTTGTGACCTTCAAGCTGCATTAGCACTAAGGCTCTGACACAGCCCTGCACTGAAGTGAAGCCCCCATGCATGGCTGGTGCTGGAGCAGTTGCACTACGTGTGCCTGCATGGACTCCCACTACAGATACCAACTTCAATGTTTTCTGGCCTGAGTTTTGGAAAAAGAGATGCCCAAGGCAGAGGTGGACGCAGCAGCTGATAGAGGAGGAAAAGAAGCTCGTGCTGCTGTGTCTTCTCCTAGTTTGTCTCTTACTGACTACAAGGGGGATGGGACCCACGGAGATGGTGCTGCCAGCATTGGAGCTGGGGGCTGCTGGATGGGCTCATGCTGTGTCCTAGGAGCCTGAGCCATGGGCTCTGCTCAGGGCTTTGCTTCCATTCTGTGAACGAAGGGAGCTGCAGTGGGTGCTGTGAGGATTCAGAGTGCAGGTGCGTGTCAGCAGGGAGACCCAGGGCCACCAAAGCACCCTGAGATGTTCTTCAGCTGTTCTGAGGTCTGCGGGTCCACAGGGAACATTCGAGGTTCACGAAATCATTGAGTGGTTGGGTTGGAAAGGACCTGAAAACCATCCA